ATAGACAAGTACATGAACCTGTTGGATTTGTGAGGTTCAGAGTGCTTTCTCGTGCAGGAGCCTAGGGGGTTAGGGTTAATGCTAAAAATCAAAGGTCATGAGTTCATCATCAAAGGTTCTTTGTGTGCAGTGTCTAGCTTGCTGTACCAATTGTTGGACTCATGACCTTTGATTTGAAAGTGGACAATTTATATTAATTTCTAAGATGCATAAACCTAAAATCTTACTCCTACGGGAGCTGGTCAATGTAATTGTGAGATTTGTTCCGAAATGAAGGAGTATGAGACGTTAATGGGGGAGAAAGTAACTTGCATTGCATACATGTGAAAGTGCACTCATGTTCACGTGCAGTGGCAACAGACTATTCATACGCCATGGAGAATAACATGGTCAGTATAGGAGTATCTTGGGCTGAATCGTGGGTTATCTTGTACATGTATGTGTGTACATGTGAAGCTTCTAGAAAAGAGACAGCATCCTACATGTACATCCGTGCTTGTTTGCAGAGTCTACAGTTTTCAATGTGTCGGAGAAAAAGAAATTTGAGACTTGTGCGTGAGGATGAACTTTGCTTACAGCCGTATCTCCCCATGACATTTTGGGCTCACTGGCATACAGTATCATTAACATAAAATGAGTCTGTCTGAATGCAGTGGAAAAAAGGGACTCGTGGAAGCCCATTTTGTGGAGATATTTTCATTCATAAAATGAAAACTCCATTTTTTCATGTTACTTTTGGAAGATGGTCTTGTCACCTCTTGTTTAAAGGTTATAATTGGGGAAAGAAAGTGTTTTATTTTCCTTACCTCTTTTAACATATACGTGTAGGGGAGCTCAATTTCTTCACATTATATATATGTAAAGGACACTTCAAAGCAGGAAATGTAATTATTATCATGGTTATTACCACTTGCAGGTGTATTTAGTTACATTCATTCTCCATCAGCCTGCAACAAACACAATGGGTTTTATGAATAAAAAGTAACATTTGCCTTTACATGTACTACTATTTTGAAGCATTTACTTGTGTTTGTATGAATAATAATGAAGCAAATGCTTTAAATTCATGTGAACAAAACAGCTTGAATTATTCTTACTAAAACCACTGTTGCTACACAGGTACCTCGTGGTTCATGGCAAGCTTTTGCTGAGTTACATGTACATACATGTAAAAGACGCCTTGCAACAATACATTGTTCTCAATGGATAAGAAGGGCACAAAGGAACCAGTCCATTCCAGAGATGGTGGTCGCTATGCAAAAGCTGGCCCTGAATCATGAGGTATAGCAACAGTGTCTTTAGTCTGGGGAATTCAAATTGTTTTGTTTTGTTCAGTCAGATGACTCAGTGCGCCAGATTTTATTCAAATTTAACTCGCAAATGGTTTATTTTCTTCATCAACGTTTTGCTATCCAAATTACTGCCATCATGCTGATCTGCCATGCTGAGGTCTCAAGATATAGCACCGTGCTGCACTGTGTGTGTCTGTACGTGCAGACAACGGAAGCCCTCTTGTGCAAAACCATTCGGCTGTGCAGTCAGCCACCCACAAGCATAAAGCATTTGCTAATATTTATACAAGATTCTGAATAGTCAAAGAAACATTTATTCCTACAAATTCAAGCATTTGCTTATTCTCAATGGTTTGACTTCTCAGTAAATGCTTTTGCTGTTTGCTTGAACTTCATAGCATTTGCTAGTTTTATTCATGTGACCCAATATACTGGCTGGAACTACAAGTGTGCTACACATGTATGGTATCAAGCATGCATATACTTTGAAACGAGCTGGAATTTAGAAAGGAAAGTATACATGTGTAAGGTGTATACTTCCAAATTTTGTATATTTTGTAAATGGTGTTGTCTTTTTCACAATGTGAATATTAACCACATTTACTTCTGTTTACATTTACCTGCTTTTCAAACCAAAGCACCCAAATCACAGTGTGCAAGGTACATATGTTCTGACTTTTGACAATTAAACTATCGGTATGCATGTGCATGGACTTCTTTCAAGATGCAAGGGCTCACAAAGTGGTAAAACATACAGTGTGGCTTTACTACATGTACCTCTTTGGAGGCTATGTACAGCAACAAAAATGAAATAACTGCCTTTCCCTTTTTGCTTGCTGACGCTGAACGATGTTAGCCTTTCAAAATTTATTTCATAAAAATGTATCTGGAGATTTGTGTTTTAACCTGAAGGGAAGCTGCCAGTCCATTAGTTGTCTGGATCGATGTGTATTTGACTGAAACGACCTTAAGCAGTCCCTATTGTCACCAGCTCAGTCACCCAGAAACACAAAAAGGCACCAGGCTTTATCAATGCTGTTTGCATGGTGCTTTGTGTGTACAGTGCCCTCCTGTACTTTTTGCAGTCAGCCTTAAAGGGTTGTGAAGACCTCCATAGACAAAGTTTTTATTAATCGTTGAAAGTATCCACTAGTATGGCAGTAACAGATAAGGGATTTAAAAATGCAATGAAGTGCCCTTTGTTGTGGTTAATTTCACTGACCTCGCAAATGTTTCAATCCTGAGAAATGATGGTGTTGCAGTAGGTGTGATGTACAGTTGAGAACCAACAGTAGCA